ATCAATGTATCTGTTGTTATACCAGTACTAAACTATTTGTTTACAGTAACAGTACAATACATTTTCAAATCAGGAAATTTGGGTCCTCATGGCATTCCATATAAAGTTTAGGATTGATTTTTTTTCTATTTCTGTAAAGGAGGCTACTGGAATTTTTATCAGGATTGTGTTAAATCTATAGATTGCTTTGGACAGTATTGATATCTTAACAACATTAAGTTTTCCAATTCATGAACTCAGAATATTTGTTCATTCATTTAAGCCGTCTTTTTCAGTTGTGTTTTATAGTTTTCATTGTATAAGTCCTTCATGTCCCTGGTTAGATTTATTCCTAGGTATTCTATTCTCTCAGACGCTATTATAAATTGAATCGTTTGCCTAGTTTCCCTATCAGAGTTCTCATTGCTGGGGTACAGAAGCCCAAATAATTTTTGTTGTTGACCTTAAACTCTGCAACTTGGCTAAATTCCTCTGTTAACTCTGGAAGTTTTCTCATGGACTGTATAAATTTTTATATATAGTATTATATCATACACACATAGCAATAATTTTACTTCTTTTTCAATCTGGATACCTTTTTATTTGTTCTTCTTGTCTTATTGCTGTGGCTAGGACTTCTCATACAGTATTTAACACAAGTGGTGAGAGTGGGCACTCTTGGTATTGTTCCTAATTCCAAGGGGAAAGCTCTCTGACCCGCTCCATTAAGTATAACATTGGCTGTGGATTTTTCATACGTGCCCAGAATCATATAGAGAATTTTCTCTTCTATTACAATTGTATTTTGGGTTTTCATCAAGAAAGGGTGTTGGGTTTTATCAAATGCTTTTTCTGCATCCATAGAGATGGTTATGTGGTTCTCTTTCGTTGTTCTACTGATGTGGTGTTATATTAATTGATTTACTAATGTTGAATCATCCCTGAATTCCTGGAATAAGTCCCACTTCGTCATGAAGTCTCCTGATTTTCAGATGCTGGTTCAATTCTCTCTCTCTTTTTTAAGAAGTAGTGACAAGAGGAGAGAATAGAGCTCTCCTGCCCATCTCCTTTTTCCTTTGTTCACCACATTTGTCAATAGGTTGTATTTATCCAATCTGATCATCTCTGCCTTCTTCATACCCCCTTATCTGGAATGCTCTTCACACACCATTTAAATCTTACCTAACTCTCAACTCACTCTTCACCTATCCCACCTTTCCCAATACTCTCATGAGTCAGCACGCTGTCAGCAGATATTCACATACTAGTTGTTGAACTGTAAAAGCACGTATGAGCCATACGCCACATCTTTCCTCCTTATCCAGACTTTAAGCTCTCGAGAAGGCAGGATCCTCTTCCTATGTGCACTGATCTGTGCACAAAATAGGTTAATAACACATGCTTTCAATTTTAGGCTAAGTGGACTCTGGCTTACCTACTGTCCTTTGATCTTCAGGAGAAATGGCTCCTTCAAGGCCTCTAGCTGAGGAACTGCCAAAGATCTCAACCCAGCAGCCTTACCTTGGCACTGGGAGAATGATGGCATCTCTAGTTTTGATATCTGATCTAGCTTTGTTGTTGTTGTTAAGTGCCGTTGAGTCAGTTCTGACCCACAGCGACCCTCTATATAAGGTTTTCAAGGAGTGGCTAGTGGGTTTGAACCACTGATCTTGCAGTTCAAACTGACCTTGTGGTCCAGTGCATTGTCCTACAGCACCACACCAGGGATCCAAAGAAAGCCAGTGCCCAATGTGGGGTTCAAACACATGCTCTGAGATTAAGAGTCTTATGCTCTATTGACTGAGCTAGTCTTGAGACAATGCAAACAAGAAGGCCATGGTATCTTTGAAGACTTAGGAACAACTGACCAATGATGCAGAAAAATCTATTATCTCAGGTATCAAAGTTATTACATAACAAGTATCATATCTTGTTATGATTTCTACATGGCCATAGTGATTCTTCAGTCAACATGAGAAACAATGAGGAAAAAAATGAATGAAATAAAAAGGGAGAAAGGCAGTTTCCTGGTGACTGGATCCTTCACTTAATGTCTAATTCAGTCACGCAGAGGAAAACCATTACCTCCTTCCTTTGTTTTTTGTTTCTATTCAAATCATTCATGTTTCCACTGAAGGAGCTCTGCACACTTCAGATGTGGAGATGAAGGAGGTAATAAAGGGTCTGGAATGGAGGTTGAGACCCACGTAGTCTTAGTTGTGACTAAGCCCAATCACCATGGTGTAGTGTGCTCACCTAGTGTGCTAACCCACCTTCTCAGAATTATTTTCCTCACGGAGAGTTCTGTGACTTCTGTTTGCCAGGCCTGCCTAACTCCTGTCCATGATTCACTCAGGAAATCAGAGGCAGAAAAGTCCAAAACAGCATGAACCCAGGAGCAACATCTCACTGCCTAGGGTTTGAAAAATGATCTGTGAACCTTGTGCAGAGCTTACAGGGTCTTTGGCATGACCCTCACTCAGGGCTGTGACAATGGCACCACTTCCACATCATTAATGCCTTCCTCAACCACAACCCTTGCAGATGTCCATCAAAGACTCACTCAGCTTGGAGGGAGAGCTATCTTGCTGGAAACACACCCATACTCCTACTTCTGATCCTCCAAAGGCAAAATAACACAACTACTCTTGGCATTCCCCTCCATTCCCCAGGAAAGCCCCAAAATCTGTGCCAGGCAAGGAACAGACCCCCTGAATAGTGAGAAGTAAGTGGAGCAATCTCAGTATTTTATAGGAAACAAATCATACCTAGGCACCAACAAAATAAAAACTCCCAAATCTTCTCCTTCAGGACCTGTGGAAAAGACATGTCTCTCCTTTCCAGTGGGCTGCCTAAGAAGCAACCTCTTAGTACGTATTGCATCCCATAGTGACTCAGGGGATCATAGTTACCAGCTGCTGAAAACAGTCTAAGAGAGCAAGTCCAGGAGAACCTGAGAAAACAATTCAGCATGGCAAGGAGGCGCCCTAGGAAACTGCAGCCACCAGAACCAGAAGAGACTCACTGCCCACAAGCTGGACAACTTAAATTATGTCATTTTTTTTGAAGTTTTTATTCTGAATTGAGTGATAGTTTACATGGGAGACCATCGGTTTTACACTCATCATTTCATTGCAATGAGTACAGTCTCCTCCGTGCATCATCATTCAACAGTATATGTTTCTATTCCCTCTGTTGTTTATTATTTTTTTTTGGAGGGGGAGGAGGTACACAAAAATACTCAGGAATATATAATCATTTAAACAATCAAAGGACTCATTTTGCAAGCCTACCTCCTGGCCACCAGCAACTGGTCGCCAGCACACAGCCTTTCTTTTCCCATGAGTTTAGAGTTCTCAACTGCTCTATTTCTCCATGCCCTCATCTCTATCTATCACCATCTCTGGATAGGGTCCCACATTCCGCTTGTGCTGTTCTCACTTGATGGTCCTACGATGCTCCGTTCCAGAACTGTAAGATTAACTACTCCCTCTTTTTGTTACAAAATTTCTATCATTATAGTTGTGACAGTCACAATTAGTCATGATAACAATTACTCACTGTTGAATCATAAATTATGTCAGTTTTTGAGGCGTTCATCTCCTTCTTAATGAACATACACATTATCAACAAAATAATGAATACATAATCAAACTTCCTTAAGGTCAAGTGAGGATTTCAAGTTGCTAACCAATAAAAAGAAGAGAGACATTCTTAGTCTAAGGCTCCATGTTACACTGCAGTGGCACTGTAATTTTAAGTACTTTATAAATCCACCTTAGAGTCATTTTTTCCCTCCTAATTGGCTAATATTTCTAAGTCATACACTTTCTATAGGTGCACAAATGGCTAAGCACTTGATAACTAGTTGAAAGATTGGTGGTTCAAATCCACTCAGAGGTGCCTTAGTAGAAGACAGACCTGGTCCAAAAAGTCACAGCCTTGAAAACCCTATGGAGCAATTCTAGACTACACACATGGGGTCATGTCAGAATTGTTTCTATGGCAACCAATAACAACAAATGTCTCTCCTAAGGCAAAAACGATTGGACCCATTTTAGAGAGCTAAAATGGTAGGTTACAATCATGCAACCACAGTGTGCAGAGGGTTAGGAAAAAGTTGCGTCAAGCTGGCATTTTACCCTTGCTCTGGAGTTTCGATTGAACCAATTGTCCTGAAGGCAGTCTGTGGCTGAAGCTCAAACTATTTTCATTACAGAAAGGCAAAGCTGATTCTGTTTTTCCTGAGCCTTATACAACAACAGCCCAGCTGTTCTGGTCATGGCCTCACATTCTTCCTGCAGAGGCTCTAAGTGACAAGATTTATGGGGCGGTCTAAAGAAACATGCTAAGCAATGTGGGATGAACCACAAGGGAGAACTTCTGGCCCCTATGGAGTATATCTAGTTTCTGGGAGGGACTGCACAGTCACCCTTGAAACTGGCTATCTTGGCTATGGGTGCTCAATGCTCAAGAGTTAAACAACAAGGGCTCTTCTGATTTATAGTCTCTGGATGGAATCACAGTCATGCTAACTAAGGTCTGGGGATGTAAAGACTCAAAGAGCTTCTAGGGACACTGATTTCTTTCAGTGGACACAGCAGGATCATTAAGCATTCCCAACACAATCAAGGAGAAGGCAAACTGAAACAACATGAATTAGGGAAACAGACTTGGCTACTGGCTACTGAGCTATTACTAGTTCCTGGATGTTTATAAGAAATAAAGAAATTGCTTTTCATGCCCAGCAGCCAGCACAGGCAACTGCCACCACCAAAGCCATCTCAGCAAGATGGTAAATCAAAAATCATCAGGGCTGAGAAGCAGTGAGTTACGAATAATGTTTTCCCATAAAAGTGAGATGATGGATGTTCAACAAACCTATGACAAATTAGCCAAGCTCCACATTTAAAGAGAAGGTTTAAATCAACAGTTCAAATTCAGACAGGGCTAGAGAGCAAATTCTTGGCAGAATGGCTGACTGAGGCCCCAGTGTGATAGAAACTGGGCATCTTACTTACAGTGAGTTGGGCCGGGTGGGTTTCACCACGTCCAGATCTGGGTCACTGGAGTTTATGTTTGGCTGCAAGCTGCTGCTGGAATTAAGCATGCTGTTTGCATTTGATGAGACCACAGATTCCAAACTGGAGTTGATGAGGCTGTTTCTTTGTTCCTCTGGGGGAAAAAATGACACAAAACCCATATTAATATTACTATTGATCCAGGACCTGTTCATACTCGTATACAAAATTCACCAGTGATGAGATTAGACTGATACCTCTGGTCCCAATGAAGCTAAGAAACTGGCATAGGAAAGGACAGGATTTTAAATTGGGAGAAAAGAATTAAAAGAGAGTAAGCGACTTTTTTTTTTTT